TAGAATGCGTGATGCGAGGGCGCTGTGCGCGACTACCTGTGGGCTTTTCTGACTCAGCTTTAAATATGGAGTCAGCAGCAACAGGGGTTACCCGATAAGAAGTGCAGTATACGATGACTGGGAAACATGATCAGAAATTCATCTTTCGACTTGCGACATGCTGCTTACAGGAAGTGCGAAGATGACAATGCAATTTACCATCGAGACCACTACGAAAGTAAGGCCCTGTCCCCAACAAGAATCCATTGACGACTCACAAGTAATGCATAGCATGTAGATCACGCCATCTCGATATATAGTGACAACAATTGGACTATTTTCTAGTCGGTGAGTTTTGAAGCGTTTGTACAACGTCAGAGATAACAAAACTGGCAGAGGATAATGGCCACTGAGAAAAAATATTCGAAATGCCACGTACCAAGCTCGAAGAGCACCAGTAAACCATAAATGATGCTAGCATTTTTGTCCACCTCAAGTACGCGATGTGTTGAATCCGTTGAATCTAGAAATGGACTAAGCAATGCTGCAGAAGACATTCGGAGAAAAGGTACGAACTTCCGATTTTATCGATACCAGCAATTGTTAGCATTGCTATTGCAGTGGCCTGCAGAGATGTCAACGTTTTGAATGTGGCTAAGTAAGAAGGACTAAGCTCACCATGCTGAAAACTGATATTACTACCAAGAACCTCTTATCGCACCCCCAGAACACGTATATCCTTACCAAGAGCAGGACTTACAAGAAAAGGATGACATCAAGAAGGCATTTGACTTGGGAGTCGATACTGACCTTCAGCAGCGAAAGCACCCAAGAAGTGAATATATTCCTAGGGAAAGACGGTCAGCATTCGGCCGTTTAAAATGAAGTTCTTGTGTACACAACTATCAGATACAGGAGTGAGCATTGCATAATTTGCCTGAAATTTTATCGTCGTGGGTACTTTCAACGTTGTGTCAGGAAGAACTCACGATTCCTCCATGAGTAGCCTCGACAGCGTCTATCCAGAGAACATCAACGAACAGTGCGAGTAGTCAGTCCGTTATGAGTACTTACAGCGAGTCATCAGAGTAACACCTACGAGTGGCAAGTAGCGAGAAATAACGAAGGAAATCCTCGTGATCCCCCACTTTCTTCCCCATGTCCAACGAACCTGGCGTTGTGTCAGTTTTTGCATCTAGACATCAGTTTCCGAACACTGACCTCCGAGTCGAATGTAATACAGAAGTCGAAAAGCTGGAAGAAAGGATTGGTTAATGGTTGTGATAATTCCTCCTTATTAGAGTCCTTACCAACGCTACTGCAGATGCGACTGTCACAGAAATTCAGTTATGCAAGAAAATACAAGAAACCGACTGCGGCTACCCCCAGTATACTGTAATGTAAGTGAGCAAAGAGGGTGCCAGTGAGGTAGGGTACGTACTGCGACAGTTTGGCGAGCAATAAAGTCCGGGAAATAGTCAACCATCGCGGTACCGATCGGAAGCTAACAGTTGTTCCGTTCCCTCTTAAGCTAACAGCGAGAGGCAACGCAGGAGGCAGGTACGCTTGATTGATGCTAGCTGTATACCTCCGTACATGCGCAGCGATGCTGACGCCACTACATAGTGGCCCTTGGCGGACTAATCGAAGGAAGACAGTGTGTTAGTCGGCCCAGCGACCAGGGGCCACATGTAACGGATTCCAGCCTGCCACAGCCTGCTACAGATCCGAGTCCACTTGCACAGGTCAATCTCATATTCACATTCGGCAAGTTCCTGAATTCTGATGCAGATGCACAAAAAATCTAGCCCACCGCGAGGGTCGAACTCGCAGCCTTCAGATCGCCTAGCACATTAAGAGTCTGACGCTCTATCCGATTGAGCTAGGCGGGCGATATCACAGCGCCTACTTGAAATCCCAACTGTGGCACCCGATCCCAAAAGTAAACGCCCGCGAAATACCGAACCTTATTACAGCCACTATACAGTTTTCCAAACACGGCAACTCTGCCATATCGCAGATTTCTCGTACGTAGCAAGAACAAGGCCTTCATCGCAAGCAACAGCCCCGGCAAGGTAAGCAAAAAAAAGAAGCCCAAGACCCTTCTTCTCGCTGTACAGTCTAACCTTACTCTTCATCGCAGCCTCAAGTAAAAAGCCCAAAATGACCCACGACGCCGTTTGGTTCTCTCGTCCCAGAAAGTATGGAAAGGGTAGCCGCCAGTGGTGAGTGCTCCCGTCGCACGTAGCCCGCAGCCGATAGCTAAAACACCCGGCACATCCAGCCGCCTCTGCGCGCACCAGGCTGGTCTCATCCGCAAATACGGCCTCGACCTGTGCCGTCAATGCTTCCGCGAAAAGTCCGCTGCCATCGGTTTCGTCAAGGTGCGTTTCTACATGGCATTTTCCTGCCCCTCGCGACGACCTTTGCTCACCTTTTGACGCTTAGAACCGGTGAACAAAGTGTACTGTCGCGCATCTGCATTTTGATATCATCATTTTCTCGTCACGCTTCTTCATCGTTCGGTCGTCTTGTATGTCAATATGATAATATGCCAACAAGACTAGCATGAAATGCACCCAACTGGAAACATCGCCTCACTACTGAAACGACACAGCCCCCTCATATGTTGTAGAACACAGGAATGAGACATCTATCTTGTTTCACTTCAGCATCGCTGCATTTACGTTGGTCGGTTACCTAAAGCTTGATGTCTCGTCCAGTGAATCGGAGTGATTTTGTCACCCTTCTTATACTGGCTGACCATCTCCGACTGGTTTCAATACATCACTGCATCCACATCATCAATCAGTCAAGTATTTACTAAAAACTTGACCTGCTGTGAATCCGGATGATTATCGTGATCCACGGATCACAATTGTCCATCTCATCATGCATATAAGACCCAAAAAGCAACGACGTCATAGATTGGACAATAAGTACAGAAGGTAGTGCTGCGCGGTTATACCATTAAACAGACATTGCTTTAGATGACGGGGTGGAAGATTAGGGCTATACAAATGGGGTGTGGCAGATAAGGAAGGAAAAAAAGATATATCAGAAAGCAACTAATAGCAATGGGTAGGGGGTTGGAATATGCCGGTGCGGAAGTACAAATGCGCGGTGGTATGATATAAGTCGACCCATGCTCATGATTGAAATAATCTCCAGAAAAGATCGCGAGATCGAGCCGAGCGAGCGTGCATGTGAGGTATCGAGCGTCGAACGCAAGGACATAGAATATACATCGAAACCATTAAAGAGCGACGGCGCGGGTGCGCGAAGAACGAACGAGCAAAAGTCGAAAGCGGCATGCAATGTACCCGCTCTACATGCCACCATAACCGTAGCTCTGATAAGGATCATTCAATGACCCAGCAATACCGGCGGTGCCAAAAGGGCTCACGTTAGCATACCCAGCGACACCAGTGTAGCCCGTGGCATGGGAATGGGGAGGGCTCGGGTTGTGAGGAGAGTTCCCTTGCAAAACGTATCCATCAATTGAGCGCGCCTGAAGACCGTGGATTTGGGGACCAAGGTGTGAGTGACCGTAGGAGCCTTGGCCTTGGATACCATAAAGGCCGCCCTGAGCTCCATACATATCAGCCATGCTACCAGCAGGGTGCATTGCTTGAGGGGTATGCCGAACGCCTGCCGAGTGATGACCGTGATGACCAGGGTTGCCCATGGGCATCATGCCCTGTGGAGCGTGATAACCGAAGTTCTCAGCATTGGCCTGTTCCCTCTGCAACTTATTTTGAATCCGCTTGCCATAAGGAGTGTTGCGAATCAAGGGAAGGACGGGCCGAATGCCTTCCACGAGAAGCATACGCTGAGCAGGGTCCGCGTAGTCAAGCGCAGTCTACAACAATGTCTAGCTTACATAACAAATGTGCAAAAGAAAGACATTACCTGCACACAATAGTTGCCGTACGAGTCGCGAAGGAGTTTCTCCAAGCGGGAGCGATTGAGCAGCTCTTCGATCAAAATTTTTCTAGTACTGTGTTCGGCGACACGGATGCACTAGCAATACGCATGAGAATCAATAAAGACCCTGGTGAGATGCTACTCACTTTTTCGATAACATTGGAGCTGAACTTCTGAACAGAGAGGGCGCACACATTGCCTGTGAACTGACGAATGACGGCATCGCTAAAACGACTGTCGTTAAGATCCAGGATATATTGGACAACCTGAAAGACAGCTGTCAGTGCACGGTCCGACAACGGGTTAGCAACGGGGGCACAGACATAGTTGCCGTAAGGGTCTTGAACGAGGGTCAATGCGTTGTAAGTGATTTCGTTGACAAGCTGGACACGCTGGTGGTCCGAGGCATGATCGATGCAGCGTTGCAAGACACAGCACCCGTGACGATGGGTAGCGACCTCGACGCAGTTGGCTGCCACTGCGTTGTAAATGAACTATCGGAAGAACATTAGCCTACGAACATATGCAAAGCCACGACACGCCTCACCTGGTTATCTTCCGGTGCAAGCTTGTTGAGACATTTTTGAATGACGTGGTTTCCGTTGAGGTCCTTGATGAGCACTACAACATGAAGGCTGAGCGCAAGAATGATAGAATGAATCTGAGTGTTGTATCTATGATCAGTCTGCGTTCTACTGTAAGTCTGGAAGGTGAAAATCCGCTGAAAGCGACTTGCCTGGCGTCTGGTAGACAAGAAGTCAATCATTTTCTGTACAGCCCGCGTACCGTGCATGTTCAACGAGATGGTAACGAGATCCTGGGCGACGGACTCGCAAATAACGTTGCGCTGGTCATCCGTAGAGAACTCGAGAAGTTTTTGGCATAAGTAATTGCCAAACGGGTCGGTCATCAGCTCAGCAAAGTGACCGAACGTTTCACGGAAGATCATGTCGCGATGCTCAGGAACACCTTCCTCAAGCTTCTTCTGGAGGTAGCGACAGCCATGCTGGTCCTTACAAAGTGTGGGTATCTCGCCTTGAAGATCCTCGAGGCGGGTGCCAGTGAAGCGGTTCACTGATCGCCAAGGTAAGTAAATCACAACTAGTTGAAGAAAATAAATAGCCTCACAATCCATGTCACCCCTCTTGTGCTTGGGACCATGTAAACCGTTCATTTTTCCATCAGCGCCATTGCCACGGCCGAGATGCAGACCGTATCGCGTGCCATTGTGGTGGTAAAGAGCGGTTGAGCCACTCGCACCATTGGTACCTTGACTAGAGCGGGTGCTCGAGTCGACATCATAGGAATTGAACCGTCCATCCATTTGACCGTTAAGCCCATAAGCACCATCTTCGTATTGATCATAGCCTATAGAACCATTGTCGAACTGGCCGGATGACATGCGAGATAGGGACGGCTGAATTTCGCCCTTGCCAGAGTCCTCGACCAACGAGTAGCTCCCTTGCGAAGAAAGTCGCCCGCTCAATGCCTGAGAATCAGGAGTAAGAGGAGTACCCGGAGTCTGCAAAAGGTGCCCGCTGCCGCCGTTCGCCATGGTTAAAGGCGTGGCTGGTACAGAGCGCGTCGCGCTCATGGCAGAAGGAGAACCGCGCCTAGACACAGGTGCTTGTCCTGAACCGAGCGAAGCTTGCGAATGTTGACCTGCATGAGGAGTCGATGCACCGCCTCCACGGGTAGTGGACAAAGCGACTGGTGAAGACGTCAGGGTCAAGGTCGGGTTGGTGACAGTGCGACGATCATTGCGGGAACTCAAGCCATCAGGGACGCGTGGGTTGTTGGAGAACTGTGGCCACTCAGAGTGCTTGTCGCCCCTCGCGGAGAACGAGTTCCGGGGCGACGTCTGAGAGCGATGGGCGAGGTCCAGAGCAGCAGACGAAGTAGTAATCTTCCGGTTTCAGGTCAGCTCAGAATCACATAGAACGCAAATCAAGTACCCTGTTAGCATAGGATGCAAACTTGTCCTCATCGGAAGTCGGGAGATTCCTCATCGCATCTAGGAAGCGTAAGTCAAGCTAAGAAACACACAGACAAGACCACTCACTATGCATTTCCTGGTCCAATTGCTCGTCGAGCATCATTCCCACATTATACTGACCACGAGTGCGTTCTTCATCACTGTATCTCCCACGAGTCAAGACGGAATGAGCCGGACTAGGTGTCGCCCGAGATGGACGCTCTCCAACTAAGGAGAGGCCTTGCAAGTGACCGGCAAGTTCTTCATCGTGACTGCTGGCTGAAGTGCGACGACTAGCAGGCATACTTTTAGCTCCAGCAGGTCTTCCATAGTGACCATTCGTTGCATGACCGGAGCCGAGCTCCGGAGATCTGTGGACGGAAGGGGCATATGTGACCGACTTTCTCTTATCCGCAACCGCAGAACCAACTGCCTTGGAAAGAGACTCTGCATCCAAAGCAGAGTGGGAGAGGGCGGTCCGAACAAGATTGTCGCTATTCAATACCGCGTTAACCCTTGGAGGAGTAGTGGGGGCCGAGACTGCGAGATGAGCTGAAGCAGACGGGTCGTAAGGAATGCAGAGCAGTTCCTGGGCTTGCTGTTGTTCAAGCGCACGCATTTGATCCTCGAACATTTTGCGTTGCAGCAACCTTTGACGCTCATGCTCCAAGCGCTTTAGCTCGACGCGCTTTAGGATGGAACGTCAATTACAAGTGAAAAGGTAAGGCGACGTGGGTATGAAGAAGACTCACAGCCGACATGTCAGGCATATTAGTACCCAGTCTCGCAGCCTAAGGGAATGTAAAAAGTGAAACGGAGGAAAAATGGAAAAATGACTGACCGAGTCTGCGAGATCGAGAAAAGCAGGAGGACTTTGCTTTCTCGTGTCCGAGGAACGATTATCGGTGGAAGCATTAGAGTTTTCAGCGGTAATCATTGGAAAGAGCAAAAGGTGAACAGCAGCGATTCTTCCGAGGTGTGAGCGACAGA